CCCATGCTTGGCGCCCCTGCTTGTGGCCATTGGCCGACGCTGCAGATGAAAGTGCCACGGGCCTCCCGTAGCGGTGACCGAGAACGAATGTGTGCTGGTGGCTAGCGGGCAACTCGCTTACAATATCCATACGTGTGCACAAAAACAGGCAATCAATTGCGAAGCACAAGCTGTCGGGGGCCGCTCCTCCCCCACGCCATAATGCCAACTCCTGAAAGAAACACCACGGACTTGAGCCAAAATGGCTACGGAAGAAGGAGAAGGGAGGAGGGAGGAAGGGACGGGAGGGGGTACGACGAGAAGTGAGAGAAATGACAAGGGAGGAGACCTACTCACCGCCTGTTTTGTCAGCCTGTGGGTTGTCGTCGTGGCTGTCCCCCATCGTAGCCTCCACTGTCGTCGTCGTAACCGACGTCCACTCGGACTCACTCTCACGCCCAGACGCTCATGGCCAGACGTTGACGGCGGGACGTGCCAGGAAATGACACGAGACGCACATATGGGGGAGACCCGCATCGCATAGTTCTTTTGACAAGGACGGCGGAGGTATCCTATTGCCTCACGTGCGCAGGCCCAGAATCCGTCACAAAAGTCCCAATGCAAAAGGCACGATGCGGTCAAATCTTGGACCATGCGCGGGCGCCCCGCGATCATGTTGCATTCTTATCTGGCTGGCGTTCGCATTGATTCTCGATCGTTTTCGATGGCGGCCCCCTGCCTGTGTTGAGACTTGCGTGCTATTATGTGGTCGGAATGCAGGTAAAGAAAGAGCGAGACGGCCGTCCTTCGAGGGGTAGCTTGATCACAACTCTTGATTAACTGCCGCGGTCGAACCCGGAACCACGCCCCCGCCGCCATTCCAATCAAAAACAAGACATAATGCATGTTGCGGCAAATTCTGGACCTTGCGCGGGCACCAGGCGATCACATTGTAATGCTTTTTGACAGGGGCGATGGGGGGTGCTCGCATATTGCCTGCTGCGCGCAAGCCCATCACCCTGTCCAAAACATATCCAGGCGAACGGCCCAACCACATGGAATTGTCAGTACCTCAAGGCAGGTGGGACGAAGGAGGGGGAATTCCAAATGGGGCCACGGGACGTGTGCAGGGTATGCCGGCATGAGAGCGGGGGGGCGCATGTGGACATCGCCGCGAGGCCTTCGTTGGAGCTCCCAAGGGGCAGGCCACGAAACGCGCGAGGGGCATGCCGAAATGCGTCGGGGAAGACGCATGTGCTCACAGCCGCTGGGGCCTTCGGTGGAGCGCCTGGGAGCGCTTGTGGGAGCGCCTGGAGGGCGCCTGGGCACGCTTGGGAGCACCTGGCTTGAGAGCGCCTGGAAGTGCCTGGGAGCGCCTGGGAGCGCTTGTAATCGCTTGGGAGCGCCTGGGGGCCCTTGGGGGCACCTGGAAGCGCCTGGGTGCGCTCGGGAAGCGCCTGGGAGCGTCTGAAAGCGCTTGGGAACGCCTGGAAAGCGGCGGAGCTTGGGAGCGCGTGGGAACGTTTGGAAGCGCCAAGGAACGTTTGGGCGTGCTTGGGCGCGCCTGGGAACTCCTTGTGGGGCCACAAGACGTGCGAGAGATGTGACGCTTTGCCGTGATGGGTGGTGGGGGCGCATGCGAGAGGCGCCACTGGGGCCAGTGGTGGAGCTTCGTAACGGGCCACGAAACGTGCGAGGGGTGTCCCTACATGGGTGGGTGGCGGGGGCGCATGCGAACCGACGCATGCGAACGGTGTCACCGGGACCTTGGGCGTAATTTACGGGGCCTCGGAACGTGTGCGGGGTGTAACCTCTAGAAGTCTATAGTTTTGACCCCCCCTTGGAGCTCTCGGCGGTGAATAAACTGGCCCTCCCTCCTCCCTCCTCCTCCTCCTCCTCCTCCTCCTCCTCCTCCTCCTCCTCCTCTTGCCCTTCCTTTCGCTAGGGACAAGAAGCTTTCTTGCAAGCGCTGGCGAGGCATAACGGAGGAGGAGGAGGAGAAGGAGGAGGAGGAGGAGGATAAGGAAAAGGAGGAGGAGGTGGAGATGGAGGAGGAAGAGGAGCAGGGGCAGGAAGGGGAGGAGAAGGAGGAGGAGGAATCCATGTCCCACTAATGTGCGCCGTGCCGAATAATGGTGGACGCTGATTTCTCTCATCGGACAATGCCTCCTGGGCTACCCTCCACGCGACAAGAATTTCGAGCTTGGTCGTAGAAGGTTTGCAACAATAATCTATGCATCGGAGAACGAGGGGAAGGGGGAAGAGAAGGAGAAGGAGAAGGTGGAGAAGTAGGAAGAGGAGGAGGAGGAGGAGGAGAAACTAAGGAGGAAGAGGAGTAGGAGGAGGAGGAAGAGGAGGAGGGGGAAGGAGGAGGAGGAGGAGGAGGAGAAGGAGAAGGAGGAAGAATGGTTGGTTTCCCACTGATGCGCGCCGTGCTGAATAATGGTGGACGGGTATTTCTCCCATCGGAAAATGCCTCCTGGGCTACCCTCCACGCGAAAGGAGTTTCGAGCTTGTTCGTAGGAAGGTTTGCAATACGAATCGATGCGTCGAAGAAGGGGGGGAAGGAGGAAGAGGAAGAGAAGGAACAGGTGGAGGAGCAGGGGGAGGAGGAGGAGTAGGAAGAGGAAGAGGAGGAGGAGGAGGTGGAGGAGGAACTACGGAGGAGGAGGAGGAGGAGGAAGAGGAGGGAGGAGGAGGATGAGGAGGCGGAATTAGTTTCCCACTAATGCGCGCCGTGCTGAATAATGGTGGACGGTTATTTCCCCCATCGGACAATGCCCAGGAGCTATCCTCCACGCGAAAGGAATTTCGAGCTGGCTCGTATGACGGCTTGCAATAATAATCGAAGTGTCGGAGGAGGAGGAGAAGGAAAAGGAGGAGGACGAGGAGGAGGAGGAGAAGGAGGAGAAGGAACAGAGCTACTTGGCATGTATTTCGTGAGAGTGTTGTGAGCCCTTGCGCTTTCAGAATGAAAGCTTCAGAGCAATGAGCCCTTGAGAAAGTTTCTCGAGCAATGAGTTTCAGAGCAATGAGTTCCAGAGCAATGAGTTTCAGCGCAACGAGCTTCAGAGCAATGCGTTTCAGAGCAATGAGTTCCAGAGGAATGAGTTTCAGAGCAGTGAGAGTTTCAGAGCAGTGAAAGTTTCAGATCTATGACTTTCAGAGCAATGAGCCTCTGAGAGTTTCAGGGCGTCGGGTAAAAGTTTTCAGAGCAATGATCCTTTGAGAAAAAGGGCCTTCAGGGGAGACGCCCTGAGGGGGACGCAGAGATCCCGAGAGACCCCCCTCCCTCCGTCCCTCCTCCCCCCTCCTCCCTCCTCCTCCTCCTCCTCCTCCTCCTCCTCCTCCTCCTCCTCCGCCTCCTCTTCCTCCTCGTCGTCGTCGGTGTTGTCGTCAACGGCGGCGGCGGGAAAAAATAATTAGTTTCCGTTGTCAGGGCCCCAGTCCGTCAATAAGGTCGCCGGAGAAATACTTAGTTTCCCACTGTTGCGGTTTTTTGTTTTAATGCTCTTCGCGGTTACCGACATGCGTGGCCAGGACGCCTGCGAACGGTGCCACTGGGACCTTCGGTAGAGCTCTCTATGGGGCCACGAAGCGTGTGAGGGGTGTGCCGAAATGGGTGGCGGGGGCGCATGCGAACGGTGCCACTGGGACCTTCGGTGCAACTCCCTCTGGGGCCACGAGACGTGTGAAGGGTGCGCCGAAATGGGTGGCGGGGACGCACGCGAACGGTGGCACTGGGATCTTCGGACGAGCTCTCAAAGGGGCCGCGAAACGTGTGACAGGTGTAGTGGACTGGGTGACGGGGACGCATGAGAACGGTGCCACTGGGACCTTCGGTAGAGCTCCATATGGGGCCACGAAGCGTGTGAGGGGTGTGCCGAAATGGGTGGTGGGGACGCATGCGAACGGTGCCACTGGGACCTTCGGTGCAACTCCCTCGTGGGCCACGAAACGTTTGAGGGGTGTGCCAAAAAGGGTGGTGGGGACACATGAGAACGGTGCCACTGGGACCTTCGGTGTAGCTTCATATGGGGCCGCGAGACGTGTGAGAGGTGTAGTGGACTGGATGGCGGGGACGCACGCGAACGGTGCCTCTGGGATCTTCGGACGAGCTACCAATGGGGCCACGAAACGTGTGAGGGGTTCGGCGACATGCGTGCCCGGACGCATGCGAACGGTGCCACTGGGACCTTCGGTGGAGCTCCCTATGCGGCCACGAAGCGTGTGAGGGATGTGCCAAAATCGATGGCTGGGGGTCCTGGGGCACACGTACGAGCTGCCGCGCTTGAACCACAACGGCTACGGACCCCTCGTGGTGCCATATTGGAGGCGTTTGTGGTCGTCCGGGGGTCCCTGGGGATCGGTTGGAGAGATCACACGCGTAAGAAATACTAACCTTGCTCTACGTTTGTGTCACTCTCGCCTTTCGCCTTCAGGAGCGTCCACGACATCACATGCATTTTCGCGCCGCCAGATCTCTGCGTTGAAGAAAGACATTGCCTGAAGAAATATCGCAACCGAATTGGCACTCAGTACAGTCGGGGGCTTGACCTAAGGAACCCTAAATAAGGAACGAGGCCCCTTTTTTCCATGAGTTAACCTTCGATTTCCTGTCGAAAACATAAGGAAAGCCTGAGGCAAGCTGCAAACACTTAAGGAACGCGGAGCCCCTTCCCAACGAAAAGGGTTCCTTGTTCAGGGCCCCGACTGTAACCTGGTAAATTATCCACGAACTGGACAGGTATGTTAAGCTGGCAGTGGCATTTACTCTGCGAGGCCGTGAGCGTACAGTGCAGAGGCACTACGCAATGCTGGCCTGCCTGCAAGTGATGGATCTGCCACGGATGGACACGCAATAAAGGGCCGAGGAACAGCCTGCGTCAAGGCACGAAGGGAACGAGGAAACAAAGGCAGGAGTATGAATGAGGCAATCTCTGTCTCAGCGGGCCATGGTACCAGACATGTTGCAACAAAACTGCACAACCCTGCCACAACATTGAATCAGAGTCCAAAGCCTCAATCACCATGTGCGCGCACCGCAAGATTGTGGCCATGAGGTCGTACCTTATCTATCGCGTGTGCTTTCTCGCACGCAAACTCATGTCGCAAGCAAGCAACGGATCCCCTCCTGCCCTGAATGCTTGGAACTTTCGGAGATACTGGCCGACTCTCGAACATCGACCGAGCTCTGAGCAACCGAGTTCGGCGGCACCCCTCGCGATTTGACAAGGAACGTCGACGTTTGCGGGCACAGAAGCGTGCGCGGGTTTACGTATTCTTTGCCAAACCGAACCCGCGGATAATTTAGGGATGACCCAACCATATTATGATAATGTCTCATGTGATCGTCTTCGTGTCGGCTTCATGGCAAGGCCGTCGCAACACATCCCGTGAAACTGTTTCAGCAACAGCTGTTGCTCCACGTCCAGTAGGTAATGATGTTGTGTATGTTGTTGTGCACACGTGTACATGAATGTATGCATACATGTGCACATATATATAAATACGAGCCTGAGCTTAGCGATGTCAATGTCGGGCGCTAAGTGGTGTGCATGCTATGTGGTACGAACTATGTGGCGCAACTGAGTACGAAGAACTTGAACACGTCAACTCCGCTGAGCGTGCGAGCGCCCCACTCTCTCATCCACAGCTTATTTGCACACCTCCTCTAGCGATGGTTTCTACGAAAACACGGGCGCGTGGAACTCAACAGCGCGGACCAGTCCGCCCTGCAGCTCGCGAAGTGATGCTTGCGGTCGTAGCAGCCGCGGCGCCAACGTCGTCGGCGATTGCAATGGTGATGACGCTGATGAAGCCGATGGTGCCAGTGGTGATGGGGAGGGTGCGGTGACGACGGCGACGACGGCGATGAAGCTGATGGTGATGATGATGATGCTGAAGATGATGATGGTGATGACGATGATGATGATGATGATGACGATGATGGTGAAGTCTTCTGCTGATGATGATGATGATGATGGTGATGCTGATGATGATGATGACAACGGCGTCAACGATGACGCGGGCGATAATGATGATGATGATGATGATGATGATGATGATGATGATGATGATGATGATGATGATGATAGTGCTGGCGACGATGGTGGGGAAATGCTAGCACGCGTAACATTGATGAGGGCTATGGCATCGACAACGGCGATGGTGACGGCGGCGGTTACGATAATGACGACGGCGATAATGAATGATGGCGATGATGGTGAGGTTGATGATGGCCATGGCGGATGTTTTAATGGAGAAGATGCAAAAAATGTGCCCGCAAAGATCCAAATATTCGAATTGAATTGTATTGAAAAGCCTTTGAGTTCCGTGCGCTGCGGGCGCGGCCGCAAGAAACCCTCGCAATAACCCAGGCCTGCATCCCGAAAGCGCGAGATGCACACTTGATGGAGCCCAGAGCACCCTAAACGCACAAACTTCTTCAATGGCCGCGGGAAGTCACGCGCAGCGCACGGAGCGAAGAAACCCAGGGTGTCCTGACGAAAAGCACTTGGTCTCTTGATGCGCGTCCCCACTGTATGTCTCTGAACACCTCTGTGCTGAAACGATGAGGAGACACAGGTCCTGGAGCAATTCAGACATGCGCGCGCAGAGACCAGCGCGTGTGGCTGTTGTTCGCCAGAGTTGGCGGACGCGCGATGGTTGAACGTTTTCGACATTCGCGCGCGCGAATGGCCAGCATGGGTGCACTCAAACAGAGTGTGAAGAAAAACCGACTACGGTCTCCTTGCGGTCTCGGCGAGTGTGCGACCGCACAATTATGGCAGCCTTTTGCCAAAGAACCGATGGTGTGTATTGGCTCTCAAGTAGGTATGTCCTGGCATGGTTGAACAACCAATTACTGTTAACTGCTGTTGACATGCGCGCGGCGGCGTGCGCATGTGCCCCGCATCCCATGTCACTGCTCCAAGAAATTATTCGGCAAATGAAGTTATCTGATCAGCGCACGTGCACCGTGTTGTGTTCTTTCGAATGGTGGCGGGGGCTGGGGGGTCGATACCCGCCGGCCTGGCTGGCATGCTGATTTAAATGTTCGGATGAACGATCGTGCAAAGCAAATAGGATAAAATAAATACGCGGAGGGGGGGAATAATCCAGGCCTTGGTGTGGAGGGAGGGTAGAACCGAATCTATTTCAAGAGAAGGGTGACATGTGATGCAAGTGGCTATGATGAATTGCGCGTGACCACCTTCCCACGCTCGTGCGAACATCCCACCAACCAACGCGTAACTTGGCTGGCACGCTCTCATCAGGGGCAACGAAGCCGGTAATGAAGACGATGTCGAGCCATGCGGCGGCGATTGCGATGACTGCTTGGCCATGGCCGGCGCATCTCTGCGGCCGCGCTGGCGCGCGCAAGCTCGCGCGCAATGCGGGCAGCTGGGTTGACGCAGACGATGCGGCCGCGATGGCGCTAACCGATGGCGGCGTCCCAGCGCGCGTCACAGGCCGCGCTGGCGCGCGGGCACCTCAATGCGGGTCGGTGGTTCGAGCGGGCGCAAACGCATGATGACGTCGATAATGGCGGCAAACATGATGATGGCAACGACGGTGGTGGCGATGATGACGAGGGCGACGGCAGGGCCGATGACGGCGCCAATGCTGGTAACGCCGATAACGATGATGATGTCCATGTGTCGCCGAAGAGATGTTGGAAGAATTTCGACATGCGCAGCACGCGGCCCGCGCAGGCGAGTGACCCGTACGGTATATGATTTTCAGCGATGATTATGGCATGTGCGCGAGTGCGGACTTTGTATTTGTCTTGCAAGGGAGTCTTGGAACATGATTATTTTGAGGTAAACGAGTGTGTACACATGGTAGTATTTGACAGGGATGAGGGGGGGGGGGTCGGTACTGCTTGGGCTGGGATGGTATGCATTCGTGTAGAAAACGAACTATGGGGCAGAATCATATGCACATTGCAGTGCGAAAGGGGGGCTATTGACCACAGGGGGCGAGGGTGGTGCAGTCAATCTTCTACTGCATGGAGGATGTACGCAGGCTGGTCCCAGTCGCGAAAACTACGCGTGCGCCCTGCAGCGCGAGTCAGCGCAGGAGGCGCCCACGAGGCGCCCACCGGTCGAACTCCTGGCAGACCCAGCCAGCGCAAGAGGCGCCCACGAGGCGCCCACTGGGCGAACCTCTTGCAGACCCAGCCAGATACTCAGGGAAGGGAGTGAGAGATCCCATGGGGAGGCGACGGAGTAGACACCACTGGCGGAGACTGGCATAAGCGGAGGACGACCGAGATTCGCTGGGCAAACTGCCTGGCATAAGCGGAGGACCAGCCGGAGTTGGCGACGTCCTTCCACCAAGAGCCCACCTCGGTCTTGCAGGTGTTGGCAACTGCCTCGCGCATGCGCTTTGGAGCAGTCATGTCAGCGAGCGAACACGCCCTCTTTAGTGCAAGAAGCCCCTGAGGCCATGGGCCCCCAGACTGCCCCATTGGCTCCAAGACAGCCCGAAGTTGCACATGCCGTGACCCCAGAAAGGCCTCAGAAGTTTCAGGGATCGGCAGGCGTCAATTTCGCACCCAAGCCATCCTCGCAAATGTCTGGCAATGTGGAGTCCTTCTGACGGTGCCTTTTCGCCACTGCCAGTGGTTCCTGCACTCTTCATGAATAGATATGTGAAAGGATGCACACGGGCTGCTCCTCTTGGCTCTTGTCTGTCGGCTGCTCAGGGTAGGGTGCACGTGTACGAACAACATAGCGCTACCATCAGCATGGCCTCTCACAACGTGTTGGCATCGGCAGTGTACCTGGCACTCAATCAACAACGCAGACATCACTTCTACTCTTACCTTGGGTTCGACATGGTTGTAGAGGCGTTCAAGAGCCGCGGCGCTGGGTGCAACATAATGTCCACGGCGCTTTGCAACGCGATTGTCGGGGCAAGCGCAAAGCCCGACTCTTCGTCTTATGAAAATATTTCGTCGCTCTGTCCTCGCCACTGCTGGAGTCAACAGACTCGAAGATAACTATGCGATCTGCGCAAGGAACGATCATTTGGAGGGCACTCCTTACCCTCGGGGAGTGCGACATCGAGTCCCACAATGTTGGCATGACGCACGGCCAGGTAAAATCTCTGTCGGCCTTGTTGACAGGGGCATGCAGGAAGCCTGCTTCTGATGCACGCTTGCCCCAACCTTGCCAAACAACACTCTCTCTTTGAGGTTGGCCAAAAAAATTGTGGCGCCAATCTGAATGACACCATTGATTATGGTTGCATGCCCTTCCGGCATAAGCCTCACACAGAGCTATGTCTGGCACGCCCAGAGGGTACGGACAATAATTAGGCACGATGTCCAACAGCAAACGTTGCCGAAAGCCGACAGCGGCCGCTGTCGAGGAGGTGACCTTCTGTCTCGAACGGACCACGTCCGCGGCGACGCCGACGGGCACAAGGGGATGGATGGCCCCAAGGGGGCGGACCTCTGCAAAAGGCGGATGGCTTCGGATGAGGCAAAGGCCTCCTTGGGAGTGCCTGGATGCTTCTAAAGAAAAAGACAAAACGGCATAAACATCAACTTTTGGCGCTCAGCGCGGATTTCTTGGATCTGCGCTGTACCCCCCTCCCTGGGGCGCGGAGCGCGCCAAGGGCGACGCCAGAGGCGCCGCCGGGGGGGCCTGGCGCGGATCCAAGAAATCCGCGCGGAGCGCCACAAATTTATGTTAATGCAGTTTTTTCTCCTTCGATTCTAAGAAGGCTTCTCATAAGCCTGGATGGCTTCCCGAGAACGCCCCCGCCTTCTGAAGAGCCGCCCCGCCTCTTCCCCCACCCTCGCGCCACGCCCGTGCGCTCTCCGCCGAGCCGATCTGTGCCCCCCGCCAAGGTTAAGCATTCACAAAGAATCAAAACATAATATGGGGAACAATTTTCTATCACCGTTGACTCGTTTTGAACATTTGTTGACTATCATTTTTTCCGTCCAAAATCCGACTGCAGAGGGACATGCCCGGCTTCATCCGAGGCGGTTCTGGGCCGGGGCCTGGCCCATGGCGGTCCACGCGTCGCGGACCGCGTGGATGTTGCCGATGCCGCCGAACCTGGGCGCGCCAGGACGGCCTCCACGAGGCGACGCAGGGGGGAGGCTCCGAGGACCGAGAGTCGGGCGGGCCCGCTGGAGGAGCGAGAGCAGAGGATCAGGCCCCCGCGTGCCTCCGGGAGCCTCCGCGGACATCTGGATACCCCCGGAGACCCACGGAGCCCCCCGGGGGAAGGAGGAGGGAGAGGAGGAGGCAGCGAAAGAGGAGGAATTCCGGCGAGGGAATGTGGAGGGTGAACAAAAAAACAGAAGAGAAGGAGAAGCGCAAGGATGAGAAGGAGGTAGTTGTTGTGGTCAGGGGATCAAAAGGAAGGGAGAAGGATACCCTGAAGGGAGACAGATGGCGGGTTGTAGTTCAAGTCTCGGGCCTCTCCTCCTCCTCCTCCTCCTCCTCCTCCTCCTCCTCCTCCTCCTCCTCGGCCCGAACTCACGAAACGATGGGCCAGAATCTGGCGAACGTCTCCGGCCCGAACCCGATGCGTGAACCAACGCGTGAAGCTTGGCCGCGAGCTTGCAAGGATAGGCGGAACACGACGATTCGCTTTTCATCGTCGTAATCGCAAGACCACATCAACCGTGATCCGAGGCAACCACCGCCGGCAACACACACTCTCGGGAGATGCACCCAACCTGACGTCCAGTAAATCCAGAATCTCCCCCACCAGAACCACAGTCCAGCACCTTATCGCAATAATCAGACGTGGCCCTGACAGAGAGCACGGTTTTCGGATGCCGCCGCATTCGGCCTCCTGGGGCCCTTCCCGGTCCCCGGAACCGTCAGGACACAGCTCGCGAAGAAAAACTTGCCCCATGGAGAGCCTCAGGGGTCCAGGACATGCCTCCCTCAGAATCCCTCCCTCAGCATCAGATCGTGCCGAAGAGCCTGGCACGAGCTCTGGCGAACACTCGCGCAGGGGATCGACTACATAATTGATTTGCCCCAATATTGGTTGTCTCGTCGAATCGACGGCGGCAAGTCACAGTAGGTTCGCAGATCTTCGAACATCCAATTCATCTTGCTCAGATTCTACGCAAATCAATTGTGGGGTATATCAATTCTTCGTCGAGCCCATAATCGACAAAAAACGTTCAGTCCGGCTCCACCGTGCTTGGGACACTCGGATGTCGGCGTCTGAAAAGAGCTCCACGTCGACAGAAGACATGGGGCAACGAGATGGGCCTGGCCCCTCTCCTGTTCCCCGATTGCGCCCAGCCAAGCGCTGCCGCTGGGCATGCAGGCATGCGCGAGAAACCACACCATTAATTCCGTAGGAAAGTGGGGAGGGTCTGATTTGGGCAGGGGTCTGACTTGGAGCTGTCTTGGAGCCGGGGGGGGGCGGGTCCGGCGAAGAGGTTTGAGGAGTTTCACCACGGGGTGGGGTCAGAAACAGCCCGTCTGGAGGGAATCAGAACCCCCCTTCTGCATCACGGAATTGAAAAAAACATGAAAAGCCAGGCCGTCACCTGACAGATTTTGCAAGGCCGTGCGCGGCGATGGCAACTCCGAGCACCAACCGATTCTACACCCGAAGCCGAAACGGACCAACATCAGCAAACCGCAAGCAGCCTCGAAGGGCGCAGAGACGCGGCAACGGCACCGCCATCGACCAGACCCAAACCGACCGAGCGCAACCGACTGCGACGCCACCGGACCGACCGAACCGCGAATGCCTCCCGAGCAGCCAGGTCGTCAAATGGCCAGTCTTGCACCCACGACAAGGGGGGACCTCGCTCCCGCCCGGCACGTCGACCCCACCCTCGCTCGCGGATCGGTATTTTTCTCGCCCAGATGAGCAGAGCTGCGCTGATTTGCTTTGTAAAGCACGCTTTCCTTGAGAGGTGGGAGCAGAAATTAAAAGGAAATCACGAGACATCACGATGTTGCATACTCCGGAACCTTATTTGTCCCCTCTTGCCGTTATCGCGCCGAATGAGTGTCGGATCCACGTTGAATACACATGGCATCCGCGTGAAATCCGCGCCGCATTAGCTCCGAATCTGCGCCGAGTCCACGCCGACTCCGCGTCGGATACGGGGGAACCGACTATCCTTAGCATGGGCGAAGCCCCCCGAAGATGCATCGCAAACATCCTATGACATCGAACGCTCTCAACGTGGCCCCAGAAAGCCCACGGACTTCCCACTTGCATGGGGGAGTGAACGGGCGGTTGTTGTCAACAGGGAGGATCAAAATTGATCGGCTTGGACTCGAGAAAGGAGCGCGGGCCTACTCAAATCGGTGGACTGCCCTGGAGCAGCCTAGACTACAGCCGCTTGCCTGTTCAACTTTAACTTGCCCGTGAGATCGTTTAATACGGACTGTCTGATAGCCGCGCCGTCCTCCTCTTATTGCGTTGTAATCATCGCCCGCAGGCGCCTTGGCTCGAGTTGGCAGCGGCCCCTTCCCAGCCGCCCGCCGACGGGCGCATGCCAGCACAGGTGCCGTTGTCGATGCCTGCAAGGACGCATTGCAGAAGATCAATCTGAAACCGTTCGCGGGCGAGGACACCTCATGGCAACCGTCGGACCTGTTCTGACTGTGCGTACACGAGACAATGGCCGCGTGGGTCAAGAAGTACTTCCAATCGGACGCGCTGCGCAAGACGGCAGGTCCGCGCAAGAACTGGCGGAGTTTTGACAAAAGGCAAGATCTTTCGTTTGAAACGTACGTCAACAAATTTCACGACGCACATCGCCTCCGAAGGTCCATGCCGAGGCGCCTGAGAAAACTGATGGACAGTGACGGCGACCGCCTTCACTTCTACTTGTAGGGCTGACACGGCGCCAACATGAGAGAGAACGTGTTTCACGGGCGCTTGCCGTGGGAACAGTCGGCGGCGCGTTTCGAACCGAGGGGTGGGCCCCCCCCAACACTCAGCGCCGTCGATCAAAACCAGGGGGACTCCCCTCCCCCCCAACCCCCCCCCCCTCCCGAACCCCCCTCCCGCTCCCAAGGGGGGGGGGGGGGGTTTGGAACCCCCTCCCCCTCCCCCCCCGCCCCGGCGCCGGCGCCGGCGGCCGCCAGCAGCGCCGACGGCGGGGACGCAGCGACGATGACCAGAGGCAGCCCAAGTTGGGGGGGGGGGTTCAACCCCCCCCCCGTGGCGCCGGCGCTGGCGCTGGCGGCGGCCATCAGCGCTGGCGTTGACGCCGGCGACGGCGGGGACGCAGCGACGATAACCACCACTACCACCACCACCACTACCACCACCACCACCGCCTCAACCCACCACCGCCACCACCACCACCAAACCACCACACGACCACCACCACCACCACCAAAGCCACCACCACCACCACAACCACCACCACCACAACTCACCATCACCACCACCACCACCACCACAAAAACTCTCACCATACCACCACACATTACCACCACCACCACCCTACCACCACACCACCACCACCGCCACAACCACCACCACACCACCACCTCCACAAACCACCGCACCACCCCACCACCACTACCACAAACCACCACCAAACCACCACCACCACCACAACCCACCACCACCACAAAATACCACCACACCACCACCCACACACCACCACCACCACACCACCACACCACCACCACCACCACCCACCACCCACCACCCACCACCCACACACCACCCACCACCACCACCCACCACCACCCACCACCACCCACCACCACCACCACCACCACACCACCACCCACCACCCACCACCCACACCACCCAACCACCACAACCACCACAACCACAACAAACTACCACACCACCACAACCACCACCGCCGCCACCACCACCGCCAACACCACCACCACAACCCACCACCACCACCACCACCGCCGTCCTCGTCGACGCTCCCCGCCGGCGCCGCCCGCCGCCGCAGGCGCCGGCGCCGGCCCAGAAAAGGAAATCGTCGTCCCCGCCGCCGCCACCGCCAGCCGAGGAGAGGGAGAGAGGAGAAGTAGGGGAGGGGGGGGGGAGGGGAGGTTCGAACCCCCCCGCCCTCCCTCCGTCATGGGAGCGGGGGGGGAGGTTCGAACCCCCCCCCCTCCATCCAGAGGGGGAGGCGGGGAGGTCCGGTTCCAAACCCCCGCCCCCCTCCAAGCGACCACAGAACGCGCTCTTTCTAACATGAGAACTGACGATTGCCCGCCAACCCACGGGGGTCCGACTTCGAAAGAGGGGCATGAGAACTGGGTTTTGTCGGCCACCTCACGCGGAGTCCGACTGGAGAAGGGCCGGAATAATGCTCGTCCGTCGCAACAGATCATGTCCGCCAGGCCCCCCACGGGCGACCCTGCAAGGTGCATGTTGAAACCCGCGTGCATGCTCTTTACGTCTTGAACGATAATCGACAGGGCTGCAACGCGGCCCAGTAATCCGAGCATGCTATTCGGATTTCCAGCTGGGGGGATGTTGGTGGCTTGGCGGCAGGGCTTCAACATGGCTTCAACATGTCTCCAATCTGGCCCAAGAGCTCAAGCAAACTAGCTCGATTTCCCAGCGGGGGGATGTTGTAGTCTTGACGCCAGCGCTTAAACATTGCTTAAACATGGCCCCATAATCCAAGCATGTTATGCGGATGTCTGGTCGAGGGGAAGTTGAAGACCTGACGGCAGGGCTTCATCACTGCGTCAACATACCTTCAACATGGCCCAACAACACAAGCATACTCGGCGACTGTCCAATCGGGAGATTTTGAAACCCTGGCGGCAGGGCTTCACCATGGCTTCAACATGGCCCTGGAATACGAAGTTGCCATTCGGACTTCCACTCGGGGGACTTTGAGGCCCTGGCGGCAGGTCTTCAACATGACTGCGACATAGGTTCAGCATGTCCCCATAACCCAAGCATGCTATTCGGATTTCCAATCAGGGGGGATGCTGACGTCATGGCTGCGTGGCTTAAACATGGCTTCAACATGGCCACACAACCCAAGCGTACTATGCGAGTTTCCAGTCGGGGAGATGTGGATGCCCTGGTTGCAGGGCTCCAAAAGGCTGCAACGTGACCGCATAATCCA